TATACTTCAAGACCACAATCACTTTTTTTTTTCCCCTAGAGGACATGTGTGCTTGCTTGAAAAAGGCTGGCGGGGGAGAAGGGGAGTAATGTGACTGACCCCTGGGAGGATGGTCATGTCACTTCATACCTGGCATATCCTTCAAGCCACTGGGATGGGGACTTGAACCATAGAGTCGGCCAGATAGGATCCAGTCACCTTAACTACTATGTCACTGGCTGGTCCATCACTAGTCTCTAAAAAAAAAAAAAAAAAAAAAAAAAAAATTAGGGGTCAGCAGGTGACGAAGTGGTTAAGGTGCTGGACTCCCATGTGGTTGATGGTTCGAGTTCCAGACCTGAAGAATTGAAACTCACGCTAAGCATGTGTGTGTGCATGCCCAAAATCCCAAGAGGAAATAAAAGAGAAGGAATTGCGGCATGGTCACCCCCCTGAGGGGTGATTTCTTTCTTTCTGTCTGTCTCTCTGGCAAGGTCACACACCATATAGCAAAAGACAAACAAATGAACAAACAAAAAACTCTAAAAAAAAAAAAAACATTTAAACACTATAATTTAAACCTATAATTTTAGGCAGAACACATTGGTAGCCATACAGAGAATGAATCTTTTATCTCAGATATCTGCATTTCTTTTAAGTATTTTTAAAGTAGAAATGAGTCAGATTAATAAAGAGAAACATGCACTAAGTAGGCTGGGAGGACAAGGTGAACCTGTCATCAATTTTCCCAATATTCAGAATTGAAGTTAAATGGCAAAATGAATACCCCACTGCACTTTATTACTTCCATGTCATGACTTACGTTTGACAACAGAAACAGCATGACATTTAGAGTCAAAATTCAAGTTCCAGTTCCATCTCTTATAAGCAGAGAAACTGGAAAACCATGTCACTTCTCTGGGCTTCAGTTACTATCTGCCAAATAGGACCTATCTCCCAGGATTCTGATGAGAAAGAACAGAGATCATGTGTAAAATAGTATTTTAACTGGTATAAAAATTATATCAAAATGCATTAATTTTACTATTAGCTTCTTTACACTGAAGAATAATCGTGAATATTAATTTGTTTATTCCTTAACCATTGCCTCCTACAGAAAACTGCTGACAGAAGTCTTCTGATATAGATATATCACCCGAAGTTTTTTTTTTTTTTCTTTTTTTTGCGGACAGGTTTTTGCTATAGGGTGTGTGCGCTCGCCAGACAGAAAGAGAGAGACAGAGAGACAGAAAGCGAGAAATCGCCCCCTTGGGGGACACTGTAATCCCTTCTCCTCCATTCTCCTCTTGGGATCTTGGGCACGCACGCACCTACACCCGGCGTGAGTTTAAGCCACCGGGTCCAGGACTCGAACCACGGTCGACTACATGGGAGTCCAGTGACATAGCCATTATGTCAACGGCTGGTCCCTCACCCCAAGTATTCTAGATAATTACTGAAGGTGGCCTATGAATGACTCACTGTGAAGGAGAAATGTAGGCAACCTGCATAATTTCTACTAGCATCAGACACTCAGAAGAGTCGATAGAATCTGAACACAAGAAATAAAGGAACAGACTAAGTGATAATTGTATATTGTTTTCCTTTCTTGATTTTAAATTGAACAATAGTAAACATTTTTAATGAAATCAGAAGGAAGCTCAATGGGCATAATAATTAATACATGTTATGTATCTGACACTTTATACTTTTCAAAGCATTTCACATACATAATCATAGGAATATAATAAATGTCATTCTGTTTGTTCACGTATGTGTAAAACTTCTACTCCTGGGCAAATCCCCTTACTGTAGTATCCCAAAGTAAATAGTGAGGGAGGGAAGACTACATAAAAAAGTACCTTTCAGAGCCATTATAATTTTGATTCTATAGGTACAAAAAGAGTAAAAAAATTCTTTTTTTTTTTTAGGTTTTAGCCATTTGAGCTTTTGCCAAAGGGCGAGTGTGTCTGCCAGAGCGAGATACTGAGAGGCAGCGAAAGGGAAAGAAAGAACTCACCCCCAGGGAGATGGCCACACTGCAGTACCTTCATTCTCCATTCTCTTCCTGGGATTTTGGACTCACACACACAAGCATCCAGCATGATTCAGACTGGGTCTGGAACTAGAGCCACAGTCCGACCATGTGGGAATCCAGTGCCTTAACCACCATGCCAACGCCTGGCCCTCAAAAACAAATTTCTTTTTAATGGACAGAAAACATATGATTGCAAAATATAATTAGAAATAAGCTATCTGGAAAAAAAACTTAAGAATTATTTTTAACTTTATTTATTCATTTACTTATTTTAATTTAACCAGAGGAGGAAAGAATGAGGGAAAAAGAGTGAGAAAGCAAGCTGCAGGTTTGGGACTCAAATCATGATCAGCCAAGTGGGAGTCCAGCACCCTTAACCACCATGCCACCTGCCAGCTCCCCCACCCACATTTTTTTGAAATAATCATATAATTGAGGCCAGCTGGTGACATGGTAGTTAAGGTACTGGATTCCCACGTGGCAGACCATGGCATGAGTCACCAACCCAGCAACTTGAAAATCATGCAGGGCATGGTGTGTGCAAGCCCTAAATCCTGAGAGGAGAAGGAGGAGAAGGGATTGTGATATGGCCATCTCTCCTGGGGAGGGAGGTGATATCTCACTTGCCCCCCACCTCCAGCAAGTATATGTGCTCTATACAAAAAAAAACTAAAAACAAACAAGCAAAAAAGAATTAAAATTTGTCCTAAAATATCTAGAAAAACTGGGTAATGATATTTTGTGGTTAAACTTACGAGTAATTTAAGAATTACAGAGTATTTCAAAAACAGTAGGTTAACTATTGGGTCGTCGGGAAAGTCATGCATTTTTGCATAAAAAACACATAAAAATACATCAATACTTTCCCAATGACCTAATACATTTTATTATGTAAGGGTACAATTCAAAAAAACTGTCAACATGCCAAACATAACACTGTTTAAAATATATACAGTACTGAAATTAATTCAGACACTTATATTTCAAAAAATGTTATTCCCTCAGAGATACTGAGAATATCAACTATAACAATACAGTATTTCTAATGTGAAATTTCAAGTTAAGCTCTCTGGCATGGCACATAAAGCATTCGATTTTATACAAAGCAAATAAAACCACTCCTATTAGTGTATTTCACAGACTCCAGAAGAAAAAACAAACTTTATAAAGCACCTTCTATTTATCTGCAAAGTACTATGAACTCTGTGCCTACTACATCATTGGAAAAAAACCGGAGCCGCCTTTTCCGAAACATAAAACTTAAAGTCTACATAGAAACAATGCATAAATATAAAGTTTTCATTTTTTTGTCTACCAAGACTCTATCAGGGTTTTTTAATACTCAGTAATTTTAAAATCGTAATCATTCACGTACCTGATTAAACATGAAAAAACATTATGTGTTTCTTATATACATAATCATATGTGCTCTTAGTTATTTTTAAGAATAGTGATGGATTATGATCTTATAATTGGGAGAAGGAAAGGGCTGTATAGAGGGACAACACAGAGAAGCTGTCTGACCCCACAAAAATCATGTGATTCAGTGAAGTCTAGAACTAGGAGCCAAGAGATCATCCCTGGCAATAGATAGCGCTGTGGCCTTGGGGGGAACACCACCAACTTTTCCTGGTCTTTGAACACTTACTGTGCCTTTGGGTAAATTATTGAACTTTTCTAGGTCTGTTTTCATGAAAACTTATGGAGCTGGACTAAAATCCAAAAAGCATCGGGATCAATGGCTCTCAAACTTTTAAGTGCAGACTCTAGGGCTCATTCTCAGTAATTCAGAATGTCTGAGCTAGAATCCAGAAAGCTAAACATTTGCCAAGCATAGCAAGTAATTAAAATATATAGATAAGGGGCCAGCAGGTGGCATGGTGGTTAAGGTGCTGGACTCCAACGTGGCCAACCACTGTTCTGATCTAGGCCCAGACAGCTTGAAAATCACATCGGCACACGTGCCTGTGCCCAAAATCCCAAGAGGAGAATCGAGAAGGGACTGCAGTGTGGCCATTCCCCTAAGGAGTAATCTTCTCACCTTCCCTCTCACTTTCTCTCTCTCCATCTCTCTCCAGCAAGCGTACGTGCCCTAAGGAAAATCTAGGGCAAAAAAAACAAAACAGGCGATACTCAACCACACATCAGAAACTGTAATCTGGTGATCTCTGATGCCCCTAACAGTATAAAAAGATGATATGATTCAGCTCGACACCAAGGATCTCCAATAGAGTGCAGGATACAGTAGATGCTAAACAAATATTTTCAGAGGGAAAGAAAGAATGGAAGGAAAGAAAAGAGCAGATACAGCACAAAGGTAAAAAGAGAAAGGAAAAGAGGCTAGCTAAGTGGCCTTATTTTTAACTAAGACACACACCAAAAGGTAGTAAAATGAAAGTTGATTAAAATATACAACATACATCAGCAGTCCCTAAATAAATGCATTATAATTTAAAATACAATATGAACATCCATCATCCCTTCTCAAGTCAAACTGCAAAATACTAAAGAAGGAAAATAAAATAAAACAGAACCACCCAGTACATGGATGCCAAAAGAATTCTAACAAAAATTACTAGATGACTAAAACTTAGTGAGTGACTATTTTCCCCGGGTAGAAGAGAACACAGAATTTAAAGAACTGCAATGTGGAATTGGGACTGAACTTTCAGGGTACTGGTTATCCATTTGCACAAATTTTATTTGAAATGATACATGGATTCCAGAAATAATGTTGACAATATTAACTTTTTTTATTAAGAATTATTTATTTAACTTTATTTGTTTATTTTAATTTGATCAGAGAGGGACATAGAAAGTGAGAGAGAGAAAATAAAAAGTGAGAAAGCAAACTGCCGGGTCCGAAAATTGAACCACGGTTGGCCATGTGGGAGTCCAGCTCCCCTAACCACCAGACCACCTGCCGGCCCCAGCAATATTAACTCTTGTCTTCCATCTTATCTGCATTTTCCCATTCACTTACATTATAATTTTTGAGTTGTTTTATCTTCAGTTCTGATGATCTTCAAATGTCAATGGTTCTTAACACATTAACTGTAAACAAACACAAAGGAACTTAAGGGAATTTAGGTATTTTAAGAATCCTAAAGTCTTCTAAATTATGGGGTAAAGCCTGAAAGGGGGTGGGACAGGGAAGAGGCTTGAATATTACGTTTACTTGCTTCAAAATGTATCCAATGTTCGAAATATGAAACTGTTCTTTTGAGTGGAAAGGATTTTATCCTCAGTCTAGCCACAGTGGCACAGGCAGTGTGGCATAGCTGTCCAGTACTGGGCCATGTGGAAGGATAAGGCTGGGACCCAGGACCAAACTAGAACCACATGGCACAGTGAAGCATGCCTGGAATCCAGGCTCACCGGGAGGCTGGGGTGGGAGGACAGAATTAATGGAGACCACACCTAAAATCTCTGTTAAAGAGATAATAATAATAATAAGAAGAAGATAGTATCTTAACAATCAGACAAAAAAAAAAAAAAAAGTTGTCCTATTTCAGTCCAAGAAAACAGACAAAAAATAATTCAAGGCCAGAGAAAATTATCTCCAAATATGGATGGTTTTAATTCACTGTATGTTTTCATCACCACCCAATTGGCCTGCCCTGGGACAGCTTTCTAACCACACACTTTGCTCTGGATCTGGGGCACCACCAGATCTTCAGGGACAATTACTTCTTTTAGAGGAGATGAATCATTTATTTAATTTTATTTTTTATTATTGAAGGCAGGCTGCTAGGTTCAGGACTCAAACTGCAGCTGGCCACATGGGAGTCCAGTGCCTCAACCACCATGCCACCTGCTGGCCCCAGCAATCACTTCTCTGCAACCCACACACCTGAGGTCAAATGTCAAACAGTTTTTTTAAATAATTATTTTATTTAATTTATTATCATCATTATTATTTGTTTAATTTGACCAGAGAGAGAAAAAGGGAAAGTAGGAAAGTAAGCCTCCAGGTCCAGGACTTGAACAGTGATCAGTCAAGTGGGAGTTGTGGCTCTACCAGCATGCCACCTGCTGGCCACCAAACTGCTCTTTCTAATCTTCTATTTTCTTACCTGCAAATAGAAATACTAGTACTGTCTACTTTATATATCAACAGCTATGAAAAAATGTGTAAGATGATCTAGCACTATGCCCAACACAAGAAAGCACACAATAAATTTTTTGTTTTGGAGAGGTTTTTGCTATAGGGCATGTGCACTCACCAGAAAGATAGAGACAGAGAGACAGAAAGCAAGAAATTACCCCCCAGGTAGATGGCCATGCCTTAATCCCTTCTCCTCCATTCTCCTCTTGGAATCTTGGGTACGCATGCACAGGCTCCTGGCATGAGGTTAAGCCACTGGGTCCAGGACTCGAACCACGGTCAACTACATGGGAGTTCAACAACATAGCCATTACGCCATCTTCTGGTCCCCACACAATGAATGTTCAGTGCTATTCTTAGATTAATTATTGTTGATAGCTTATTAATATTAATGCTATCAATTATTACAACTATCTATCACTTGTAAAGCAAAGCTTATCTTAAGTGTTTCCATCTTTAGGTACTGCTTTTGGTTATAATAGAAGAATGTTGCCTAATATGAACAGCAGAGGACATCTAAACCATAAAAAAATTTATTTTTTACCTTGACTATTTTTGACTCGATGAATGAAAATTACAGCTTGTAATCACCAGCCCATTATCAGCCAGTGACTTTTCCTTATGCTAATGTACAACCCGGCAAAGCCCTTTTTGAGCAACTGCTCATTTACTGTTAGCAGTCAGGACTGTTGCCTAATATCAACAGCAGAGGACATCTAAACCATAAAAAAATTTATTTTTTACCTTGACTATTTTTGACTCGATGAATGAAAATTACAGCTTGTAATCACCAGCCCATTATCAGCCAGTGACTTTTCCTTATGCTAATGTACAACCCGGCAAAGCCCTTTTTGAGCAACTGCTCATTTACTGTTAGCAGTCAGGACAATTCTGCTGAGAAGGAAGATGGACGGACGTATTTGTGACTGATGCCTGCTGAGCCCTCTGAGCCTAATGAATAAGTGTTTTATCACTCCATAGACGACCTACTCTCCCTTAGTCACTCCTAAATGATTAAATGGCTAATGTTTAAAGTTACATGATTAAAATATTAATATTTACGTCAGGTGACACATGAACGTTGGACAATGATTCCTCAAAGGTTCCAATAAAATGATTATCTCCAGAATGTAAAAGCAAACAAAATATTGGCAAAAGCATTCATAAAATAATATGCTTAAAATAGGCAGCTTTGTTGCTCTTACGGAGACCAAACCCTTAGAAAAGAAATGAAAGTTTCTAAATAGAACCTGACGCAATATTCCGGGAAGAGATAAAGCATGTGGATACATGACTTAGAAATAAGAGGCCAAAATGAAAAGGAGTAAAGAGAAGAGGCAATCACTCTCATCACCACCACTTCACCTTACAACTCCTTGAGCTCTTCGAATTAAGTAAAACAGGAAAGAACACCACTGATCATTCTCCATTTGATTGTTATTCGCCTGTCACTTACTGGTCTAGTCATTATTAAATGTATCACTCTCCAACATCAAACTCAAAAGTTCAGACTGCTCTAACATAGTTTCTTTTTTGGTCTCTACTATATGTCAGCTCTCTCAGTATATTTTCTATTTTTGTCATCTCATTTGCAAATTTGTTTGTGTCTTTGGTATAAGCAAAGTAGTACAGACTCTATCTGGAAAATGTTATTTTTAAATGATTCATTTGTAAGCCAGGGCAGAAAGTACTGACTGTCTCCAGTATACATTCTTTCCTACTCCTTAGTGACAAAAACTTCATTTTTTAAAAAAAAGAACTATTTAATTTTATTATCATTTATTTTTTGAAGAGGTTTTTGCTACAGGTTGCGTGCACTCGCCAGACAAAGAGAGACAGAGAGACAGTGAGAAATTACCCCCACCAGGGGGGATGGCCACGCTGCAATCCCTTCTCCTCCATTCTCCTCTCGGGATCTTGGGCACGCACGCATACACGCCCGGCGTGAGTTTTAAGCCACCGGGTCCAGGACACGAACCTCGGTTGACTACATGGGAGTCCAGTGACATAGCCATTACGCTAACTGCTGGTCTCATTATCATTATTTTTTAATTTGCTATAGAGCATGCACACTCACCAGAGAGATTGAGAAAGTGAGAAAGCAAGCCACCAGGGCCGGGACTCAAACCGTGATCAGCCATTTGGGAGTCCAGCAGCTTAACTATCACACTATCTGCTGACCCCATCGATTTCTTTCTTTCTTTTTTTCTTTCTTTCTTTTTTAAACTATCAGAAGACATGTGTATGTACCAGAAAAAGAGAGGGAGCTGGGAGGGTGGGACCCTGAATGGGGCATGATCATGTCACAATTCCTTCTCCTCCATTTCTCCATCCTGTTGGGATTTGGGGCATACACAGACATGTACCTGATGTTTCTTTCAAGCTGCTGAGGTGAGAATTCAGCATGTGGGAGCCAGCTCCCCTGACCACTAGGCTACCAGGCTGGCCATAAACCTTCCATTTTTAATTTAGTACAAAGCCTTCCAGAAGAGACTACATTTCCTAGCCTCCCTTGTGGCCTAGAAATGGCCATGGAACTATGTTCTAGCCCAGAGGTCTCCAAACTTTTAGGCGCCAGGGATCAGTTTCCTGTAAGACAATTTTTCCAGGGAAGTGGGCAGGACAGGGGCGGAGGTGGGGGGAATGATTCAAGCACATTACACTGTACACTTTATTTCTAATATTATTGTATTGTAATATATAATAAAATAATTACACAACTAGCCATAGTGCAGAAACAGTAAGAGCCCTGAGCTGTTTTTTCTGCAATCAGAAGCTTCCATCCTCCTATGAGAATCTAACGCACTGGTGATCTGACAGGAGGTGGCGCTCAGGTGGTAATGCGAGCAGTGGGAAGTGGCTATACATACAGGTGGCGTTTTGCTCACTTGCCCACTGCTCACCTCCTGCTATGCCAAGGTGGCGTTTTGCTCACTTGCCCACTGCTCACCTCCTGCTATGCGGCCCTAGCCTGCTTGATGTACACTATGGAACTACATGTGACTTCCAAAAAAGTATCCTTTTAAGAGAAAGCATACCCTTCTTCCTTTCCTCCTGAAGATGCAATGGCTAGAGCTCCAATAGCAATTTTAACTCATGGAGTTGGAATGTAGGGCATAAGAATCTGGGTCTTTGACCTTTCAGATTTACCTTATCAGATCTGTATTGATGATCCCTGGGCTTTAACATGGGGGTGCATACCTTCTGGTTTAGGTCACCATTACTTTAGACTTTCTGTTATATGCTGCTAAACCTAAATGCTTACTGAAAAAAATAAAAAGAATTTCCCAAGTATCAGTATTCATACTTTTTGATATACACAGAATAAAACATATTTTGTGTTAATTTATATTTAGAAGACAATCTCTGCCCTTATTTAACCTAGACAAAAAAGTACTTAAAAAGTCTAAGAGTTATTCACATCAAGTAAGAGTCTTTGAAAGAATAAAAACCCATGTCTGACTACTGCCATGTACTTGAGTAAGGAAAGCCATGAAGCCTGCTTGTTAATGACCGTTAGCGATAACAATATTGGTACATATACAGAAACAAACTAGGAAGGATAAGCACAGTTATTTCTGAGTAAAATGTTACAGCAAAGAGAACGAAAGTTACTATTTTCAGTAAGAGAGCATCTTCCATAATTCCTTTTATTCCAATAACCTTGTACCAATCTTACTTTTTTTTTTTTTAAAGAATTCCATTTTTAATCTAGCTTCCTGTGGAAAGGAGGCTTATCAAATAACTCCCTACTCTTGACTATCACCTCTCTAATAAATAGTTTAATACTACTCACTGATTTAACTAAATCGTACAGTAGACACAAAAACAGCAAGTGCTTTACAAATTCGAAACCATTTTCTTTAAAAAGGGAAAATATTCCACACTAAAATCTGGACAATTTCCACTACTCAAATCCTGAATCACATGCAATCTTTGGCCCTGGTGATTTCTGAATACAATAGCTTAAGCTGGCAGCTTTCCAAAATAAACTTACTGCTTTCTGGACATCTGTGTCCAGGTTATTTCCTTTCCTTGGGCAGAATACAGGCCTTACTGGTTCAGGAGATGGCCTCCTGAAATTATAACTGTTTTTAATCCGTGTTAGCACTACTATATTTCACTAAGGATCTATTTGAAAGAAAAAAACCCTAAAATGTACACTTGATTTATATTACTCATGGCTAGGAAAGAAAGGACCTCAGAAAATTTCCTAAAAATCAGACGTAATAAATTGACGAGATAACTTTTACCTTCTACTGCATTAGGTACCATTTGTACAAAAATGTTCTCAAGCAATAGGCCTACATACCTCTAACACCTTATCTTAGCTTCATCCAATATTGATGGAGTTACTAGGCACCAGTTAGCAGAAGCACCAGGACAGAGGTTCTCAAACATAAGCAGGAATCAGGATCACCTGGAGGGCGTGCTAAAGCAGACCGTCAGACCGGACCCTGTTTTTTCTTCAGTTAGGTCTGAGGTGGGGTCTGAGAATGCATTTTAAAATTCCCAAGGGATGATGATGCCGCTGGTCTGGGCACCTCACTTTGGGAATTACAGATCTACACTAACAGGAAACTAATAGGATAAAGAGCTACACAGGCCCCAATCTCAGCTTCAGTAATAACTGGCACAACCTCTGGTTAAGTAATTCACCTCCTTAAATGCCCTTCCTTGGGCCTGCCCTATAGCCCGCTGGTTAAGCACTGTGCACTGGTAGCCAGATCCCACATGGCCAATCACATTTCAAACTGTGGCCCTCAACAGCTTGAAAAATGCACCAGGCAAAATTGCATGTGTGTCCCAAATCCGGAAGGGGTAGAGAAATGAAAGATAAAGAGCTACGGCAAGACCAAACAGCACTGGGAGTGCTTTCTTTCTCATTCCTTCTCTCTGCATCTCTCTCTCGCTAGCACACACATCTTCTGACAATTTTTTAAAAATGAGTCTTCCTGAAAAAATGTAGACAATAGTCACTATTACTTCACAGTAATATTAGGTCTTATTAGAGAACATTAAAGTTCTTTTAGGGTCCCGGAATAATAAAGTACAAAAATAAGTAATGCTTAGCCTAATGATATGTTCAATGTCTGAACCAAGATGCTCATCATAACGCCAAGGCTGTTGGCATTAGCTTGAACCTGTTAGCATGACTTTGTTTTGCTACTGTACTTTCTACCACTAATCTTGGCCAGCTGCCTCAGAAGACAAGCCAAGAGTCATAATGAGAATGGGTAAGAATGTGTGATTCTATATAAATCCATCACCACTACTGGAAAAACAACCCAAAAGCATATTTCCTAACAGCATATTGCCTTTTAATGACCTTGAGGCTGAAATTAAAGATAGGACCTTGCAACAAAATATTTTTACAAATCTTGGAAACCCATCTGCCTCTTCAGGTCCTAAGTGTAATAAAAATCCATGGAAACAGACATCCACAATTAGCTTGTTTCAAAAGATAATTTCAAGGAAGACATGCAATGTAAAAATGCAATTAGTTGGGGACTACTTCATTGAAGTAATTATGTGTACCTTCCCCCTGATTTATGTAAATTACTTATAAATATGGTATGCTCATAAAAGTTAATGAGTTTATGAACTAGACATTAACTGATAAAACCAAAATGACCTGGGCCAAACAAGTGGTGACCAGAATAACTAGACCATGAGGATACATGACAGATGAAGGAAATACCCATTAAATAAAATGAATAACCAGGTAAATTAGAGAAAGGGCCAAAGTAATCAAGAGTAGCAGATGGAAAAACAGGTGAAGGACACATAATCCCAAGATACATTTGTTCCTCCATTCTGTGGTGGATACATCCCAAGACTTCCAGTGGATGCCTGAAACCGCCAACACTACAGACCTTACGAATACTAGGTTTTCCCTCTATATATGTGCCTAAGATAAAGTTTAATTTTATGTTAGGCACAGTAAAAGATTAACAGCTAATTACAAAATAAAACAATTATAACTACACTATAATTAAAGTTATGGGAACATGGTCTCTGAGTCTCTCAAATACCTTATTGTACTTACTTTTTTTTTTTTTTTTTAAAACCAGTTGACCACGGGTAACTGAAACCATGGTAAGTGAACTCACAGATAACCGTGAACCACTGAACATAGACCTCCGAATCCACAAATTTAACCAACTTCAGGTAGAAAACATTAAAAAACAAAAACAAACAAAGAAAGCAAACCTCCAGAAAGTTCCAAACAACGAATTTTCAATCTGCCCTACACCAAGTACTACCTGGAATCTACAGGATGGAGTGATGTGTGAGCACTGTACTTGTGTATTATAAGTGATCTCAAGATGACTTAAAGCTTAAAGGAAAATGTACATAGTTTACATGTAAATACTATGCCATTTCATTTAACAGATTTGAGCAACCTCAAATTTTCAATTAGCAATAATCGCGCCTCGGATAAACCTCATTGGCTACGAAACTGCAACTGTGCAAAGCTAGCAACCTCAAATTTTGATACCCTCAGGGCGCCCAATCCTCAGGAGTCCCAAAACCAATCTCGCTTGGGAAAAGGCAGGCAAGAGGGATGACTGTGTATTAACAACCTGAGTTACAAATTTGACTAAAGGTTTTGCTAAGCTTCAGTTACACTGTTTCTATTTTCTAACAAATAAGAAACTTACATTTTTTTGTATAAATAATTTTCTTTGTAGCTGAATTCGGCAGAAATGTGTTATTCTACTGTGTAAAAGTCATTCTGTGACAAATAGAATATTAACTATTATGTTGCAGAAGCTGTCAAAAACAACCTTGCAAGGCAATTTTTAAACTAAATCTTTGTATAAACACAGAAAACATAAAAACAAACTACAATTTAAGGACATTCTTGCAAAAGGCTAATATAATACAAACATTCGTACTTTGCATCGTCATAGACCAACAGAAGCAAAAATTTAACAATTTAGCTATTTCATACCTTGATAAAAAGACTAGCACAAATAGATTGGATTAGTGAAACAAAAGGTATATCAAGGTAACTTCTATACAGTAGATATTCAATAAGTGCTATTTTTCTACCTTTCAGAGTTAATAACGTCAGGCGTTTTCCTGTGGGAAAGAGGGAGTCATATTTTTGTCTGCGAGGATGAGACTTAACTACCTTAGTCAAAATTGTTTCAAGGAGTTCTTAATTTTTTCACTCATTTGTCAGTAACATAAATTTTAATTAAGAAATTAAAACACATGTATGAACTTTAAAGTTGCTGGGCTTTCTTTTCTTTAGTATCACTTAAAAAATCCAAAACAAGGGTTATTTGCAATGGACTATCTTAGCTAATTGATAAGAATGCATTTGTCTTATTAAGTGTTGTCCTTCAGATTTTAAAATGATAGAATTTTAGTGCTCCAACGTATCCACAGATTTTCTAGATCAACACTCTTTTATTTTACAAGATGAGAAAATCACAGACCAGAGAGGCTAAATGACACAGGAAAATACTAGCTGAGTCTCCTGGCCTGAGTCTCCTGGCTTCTACTACTGCCTTCTTTCCAAAATACTCTGCTGCCTCCTGTAGTTCTAAATCCTCTGCCTCTGCTTTATTTTCTTCATATTCTATTTTGAACCTTAGTCACCACCTATACCTTTCCCATAAAATTATAGTGTTTGCCAACCTGTTTTCTAAATAAAGGATTTCACTGCTGAGCATGTAAATCCTTAGCTTTCTAAACTTCACAACGATCTAGACTCAAAAATATTTAAATGTGTACAACATAATGAACTGTAAAGAAAATTTCTCTCCTAGATAATTCAACCTATACATTTGAAAACCCATTTCTTGATAACCTTTGCCATGCAGGGCCTACATTAAAGGCTGAGGATAAGAAAATGATTACGATGGAAGAGCTTAAAGCCTAACAGAGAAGACAATTAAATCAACCATTTTCTCCTGCTTAGGAGAAAAGGAATAAGGAGGGGGCAAGGAACTGAGTGAGTACAGGAAGAGCATCTGACTCAGGATGATGGGATCAGTCCATGGATCTCCAATGAGCCACTGAACGCCAACAAGGGAAAAAAAAATGGCAGCACTACCCATACTTAGGCAGAGTCCAAGATGAATTTTAAAAGTGACTTTAATCTATTCAACGGAGAAAACAAAATTTTTGTGTTTTCACACTGCAGTTGAATATCTAGTAACTATCTCATAACAAGACAGTTTTCAGTGCGAAAGACCCTAATTTCAGTATGGCTGTATAACAAATACCGATCTTTCATGACTTCACGAAACTTTAAAAGCATTATTGGAAAATAAAAAGACTGCATCCAAAATACGTCTACTTAATATTTACACCCACTCTCTGCAAAGCTACACAAAGTCCTCAATACTCCAGGATAAAATCCCATCTATTACAAGAGACATGACCACCTGGAGAACCAGTAGCCACGAAGGACGATGAACTACCGCTCATCTTGCTTTCTGAAACCCATCCCTGGGAATAAAGACCACCCACACTCCTTCATATTGGCTTTCAAGCTGCAAGATATAGAAAGGAAGAACACAGGGGACATTTCAGTGGCCACATTTAAGCAAAACAGGGAGGCGGAGAGCAAATCAGAGCAGGGAAAAGCCTGAAAGAGATAAGGAAGTGAACTGATGGGAAACAAGAGGAAAGAAAGGGTTGGGCAAGAATCCAAAACGCAGACACAGAACTGATGGAAGAAGGCAGACTGCAGGAGGGTCCTGAAAAGAGTAGCAAAGAAAGACAGGCAGGAGATGAGAAAAAAAGGACTGGGGGAAGGGCGGGCCAAGAGATAATTGAGAGAAAACGAGAGACCCGAGAAAGTCATCCACTGGGGCTACCCCGACGGGCGAGAAAGGGAGGTCGGAATTCGAAAAAGCAAAGGGGCCGATAAAGCAGCAGCGAGTTTTAACCTCTTTTGCTTCAGCCTCCACGCCCCAAAGAGGGAGAAAGAAGTGGTTCCCAGTCCCCGGGGAGGAACTCGGGCGCAGCCTCGGGGAGCCGAATC